GAGGGTTCATTCCAACATCGTTGATGACTCTTGGGTTTACACTGGTCCTCCTCCTCCTCCTCTTCCTCCTCCTCCTCCTCCTCCTCCTCCTCCTCCTCCTCCTTCCTTCTTCCTCCTCCTGCTCCTCCTCCTTCCTCCTCCTCCTTCCTCCTCCTCCTCCTCCTTCGTCCTCCTCCTCCTCCTCCTCCTCCTCCTCCTCCTCCTCCTCCTCCTCCTTCCCCGCTGTTCGAGAAGGCCCGCGGCGGGCCGACTCGGGCGCGGCAGGTGCTGTGGGCCCCGCACCCCGGGCCCGACTTCTCGGGGAGGCGCAGACGGTGCTCCTGCCGCGAACATTACCCGCCCCTCGCTCTCGCCGTCTTGGGCCTCCGGGGGGGGCCCTCGCCAGCTGCCGCCCGACTTTCGGGGAGGAGAAGGAGGTGCTCCTGCCGCGAATATTACCCGCCTCTCGTTCTCGCCGTCTTGGGCCTCCCGGGGGGGCCCTCGCCAGCTGCCGCCGGGATTTTGCCCCGCGGCTCCGGTCAGGACGCACCACCGGGAGAGATTTCCGGGGAGCAGCGGCATCGGCACCTCCTTGGCCCCCGCAGGCTCGAGGCCCGGGCTGCCCGAGCCCCGGGAGCTGCGCCTGGCCGTGCGAGCTCGCGCCGCCGGAAGAAGCCCAGCGGAGGGGTGCAGGTCGGGACGACGAGGACAGCGGTGGCGACTGCGACCGCGACCCCCAATGTCATCCTCAAGGCCCGTCGACAACATCTCCGCTCAGACCCCGCGGACCTCGCCGACGAGCTTTCGCGGACGTAGTCCACGGTTTCCAGGTCGGCAGTCTCTTCTCTATGGCGGACATCAGCGCGTGCCAGAAGGTCGTGCACCGATGCGCCCCTGGAGGGCCATTTTTCGACACCCCTCACGCAGATCCTGGCCCCCGAGCGTCACAAATCGAGCCCTCCCCCCAAAGATGCGCCGAAGTGGCCATAAGAGGCTCCAGGGAGCATCCAAGAGGCCCCCTAGAGGCCCCCAACAAGGCCCAAGAGGCCTCCAAGAGCTCCAACAGACCTCCGAAGCATGCCCCCAGAGGCCAGCATCCTTGATTTTTGTATGGTTTTTGAAGGAGTTTTGCCTTCTCGCCTTCTCGGCTAGCCGACGCTCCAAGACGGCCGAAGGGACCCGCAAGACTGGCCCAGGACGGCCCACCAGGCCTCCAAGCGCGTCCCCAGACGGCCCAGGGAACCCCAAGATGGCCCAAGAGGCGCCCAAGCCGGCCCCAGAGGACCCCAAGCCAGGCCCAGGGGGCCAAAGAACGGGGAAAAACCTGACATTCCGAGCCCTGGGCCCCCCCATACGCCCACACGAGGCCCCAAGACCCCCCAAGAGGCCTCCAAGAGCCTCCAACAGTATTCCGAAGCATGCCCCCAGAGGCCCAAACCCTTAATTGTTCAATGTTTTTTGAAGGAGTTTTGCCTTCTCGCCTTCTCGGCTAGCCGACGCTCCAAGATGGCCGAAGACACCCACAAGACCGCCCCAAGACGGCCCAACAGGGTTCCAAGCGCGTCCCCAGACGGCCCAGGGAACCCCAAGATGGCACAAGAGGCGCCCAAGCCGGCCCCCGAGGACCCCAAGCCAGGACCCCCAGGAGGGACCCCAGAGGCAAACATTGCCCCATTGCCTCGCTCCAGGACGCGCCAAGACGCCCCCAAAGGGCCCCACACGGCCCCGGGACGGCTCCAGAGGCGCCCGAGACGGCCCAGGACGCACCCAAGACAGCCCCAAGAGCAGCCAAGAATGGCCAACGAGACGGCTCCGAGAGGCTCCAGGGGGCGCCAAGACTGCCTCAGAGCACCCTTGGGAGCCCCACGACAGCCCCAGAGGCCCCCAAGGCAGGCCAGGAGGCTCCCAAGACGGCCCAGGAGGGCCTCCAGGAGAGCCCCAAGAGGCCCAAACCGTCAGTCCCGACGGGAAACGTACATTTTTCGATATATCTTGCTTTTTCGTCCTCGCAGCGTCCAGAAGGCTATACAGGCCCCCCAGTTCGCCCCAGGACGCGCCCAGACGCCCCCATGAGGGCGCCCAAAGGGCCACACACTGCCCCGGGACGGCTCCAGAGGCGCCCGAGACGGCCCAAGACGCACCCAAGACAGCCCCAAGAGCAGTTAATAATGGCCCACGACGGCCCCACCGCCCCGTCTCCAAGACGGCTGTAGAGGCCCCCGCCGCCCCGTCTCCGAGCCTTTCCGTTTGGACAGTCTCGAAGACGGTCTCCGGGCCGTCCGGGACGGTTCCCGAGGCGCCCGAGACGGCTCAATAAACACAAAAGACAGCCCCAGGAGCGCCCAATATTGGCCCAAGATGGCCCCAAGATTGTCCCAAGATGGTCCGAGAGGCGCCCAAGACGGCCCCACATCGCCCCAAGACGGCCCAAGATGCACTTCAGATTGCCCAAGAGGGCTCCGAGAGACCCACCCCCAGGAGGACGAAAAGAGGCCCCCAAGCGGCCCCCGAGAGGCGTTGGATGCTTCTCTCTTGGGGAGCGTCGAACTTCAGCATCGTTTTGGAGGCTTCTTGGACCCTCTGGGAGCCATCTCTGCGCTATTTGGGGACGTCTTGGGGAGGTGCGCTCGAAAAGTCGATTCGTGTCCTCGCACTGGGGCCCTTCTTAGAGGAGTTCCGTCTCGCGGCCCTCTTGCGGGCTAGGCCGCGCCCACTTGCCCCATTGTCACCACACTGCCAGATGAAATTATCATTCGGCCCCGGCGGAGAGCAGATAAACTTCTCACGGCTACCTTCCCCGCAGAAGCTATGATGAACACAGACTGCGGCGTCAGAAACAGCTTCTGTCCACACCTTGTCATGCCTACATGGGTGTGCTTCCACTGACACCGCCTCCACCACCGCGTTCCTGCCTTCAGGCCTGCTTGCCTGCATCCCTCGCCCACCTCCCCCTCCAGCGGCCACCTCCATCCACGCCGTCCCCTCCAACCTCCCCTTACCCGCGAGGCCCCAGAGACGCTCCACTTCCACGTCCACGCCAGGGCGGGCAAATTCCGCGGCCGGAGGCCGCGGGTCAGCCCTATCTTCTCTACAATGCAGGGACCCGTGCGTGCGGGAAGGGTCCCTGTCTTGGTGGGCGTAAAATGCCCCACAACGGCTCTGGGGACGCCCCAGAGGCGCTCACGCGGCCCCAGAGGCGCCCAGGACGGCCCCAGACACCCCTAAAACAGCCCAAGAGCGCTCCAAGAAAGCTCCAGACCGCCGAAAACGGCCCCGACAAGGCCCAGGAGGCCTCCACGACGGCCCCAGAGACGCTCAAGAGGCGTCCCAGGATGGCCCCCACAGGTCCAAATCATTGTTTTTTGAAGCGAAAAACGTCAAATTTTAGCACGCACTGCTTGTCGGGAGTATGGCGCAGAAGATAGGACAAGAGGCCCCCGCGACCGCCCCAAGACGGCCCAAGAGGCCCCCCAGAGGCACGAAAACCGGCCCGCGAGAGCGTCCAGAGACCCAAGAGGCGCCCAACACGGCCCCCAGGCGGCCCCAAGAGGCTCCCAGGAGGCGCCCAGGACGGCCCCAGACACCCCCAAAACGGCCCAAGAACGCTCCAAGAGAGCCCAAGACCGCCGAAAACACACCCAAGACGGCCCAGGAGGCCTCCACGACGGCCCCAGAGACGCCCAAGAGGCGTCCAAGGATGGCCCCCAGAGGCGAAAATCATTGTTTTCCCGAAGAAAACGCTCACTTCCAGCATGCGCTGCTTCACGGGAATATGGCGCAGAAGCTGGTTCCAGGTCCCCACGACCGCCCCAAGACGGCCCAAGAGGCCCCCAAAACGCACGAAAACCGGCCCGAGAGGGCGTCAAGGGAGCCCAAGAGGCGCCCACAACGGCCCCAGGGTGACACCAAGAGGCTCCCAGGACGGCCCCAGGTAGCCCCAAGACGCTCCAAGAGCGCTCCACGACAAGCCAAGACTGCCTTTTGCAGCGCCAAGGCGGCCCAAGACGCCTCTACGACGGCCAAAGAGACGCCGAAGAGGCTTCCCAGGAGGGCCCCAGGAGGGCCCCGAGACGGCCCAAGACGCACCCAAGACAGCCCCAAGAGCAGTTAACAAGAGTTAACAATGGCCCAAGACGGCCCCACCGCCCCGTCTCCAAGACGGCTGTAGATGCCCCCACCGCCCCGTCTCCAAGCCTTTCCGTTTGGACAGTCTCCAAGACTGTCTCTGGGCCGTCAGGGACGGCTCCAGAGGCGCCCGAGACGGCTCAAGAAACACCAAAGACAACCCCATGAGCGCCCAATATTTGCCCAAGATAGCTCCAAGACTGTCCCAAGATGCCGAGAGGCGCCCAAGACGGCCCCACATCGCCCCAAGACGGCCCAAGACGCACTCAAGATTGCCCAAGAGGGCTTCAAGAGACCCCCAGGAGGACGAAAAGGGCCCCCAAGCGGCCCCCAAGAGGCGTTGGATGCTTCTCTCTTGGAGAGCGTCGAACTTCCAGTATCGTCTTGGGGGCTTCTTGGACCCACTGCGAGCCATCTCTGCGCCATTTGGAAACGTCTTGGGGCGGTGCGCTCGAAAGGTCGATTCGTGTCCTCGCACTGGGGCCCGTCTTAGGGAGTTACGTTTCGCCGCCCTCTTGCGGGCCTCCTAGGCCGCGCCCACTGGCCCCATTGTCACCACACTACCACATGAAATTATCATTCGGCCCTGGCGAAGAGCAGATAACTTCTCACGGCTGCCCTCCCCGCAGAAGCTATGATGAACACAGACTGCGGCGTCAGAAACAGCTGTCATGCCTACATGGGTGCGCTTCCATTGGCACCGCCTCCACCACCGCGTTCCTGCCTTCAGGCCTGCTTGCCTGCATCCCTCGCCCACCTCCCCCTCCAGCGGCCACCTCCATCCACACCGTCCCCTCCAACCTCCCCTTACCCGCGAGGCCCCAGAGACGCTCCACTTCCACGTCCAAGCCATGGCGGGCAGATTCCGCGGCCGGAAGGCCGTGGGTCAGCCCTAGTCGGCTACAACGCTGGCATCAGCGCGTGCGAGAAGGGCGAGCAGTGGCAGCGGGCTCTGGCGCTGCTGTGCGAGATTTGGGAGGCGAAGCTCGAAGCGTCCGTCATCAGCTACAACGCTGTGATCAGCGCTTGCGGAAACGGCTACCAATGGCAGCGAGCTCTGGCGCTGCTTAGCGAGATTTTGGAGGCGAAGTTGGAGCCAACTGTCATCAGTTTCAACGCTGGGATTAGCGCGTGCGAGAAGGGTGACCAGTGGCAGCGGGCTCTGGCGCTGCTGAGAGAGACGTGGGAGGCAAAGCTGGAGCCCATCGTCATCACCGCTCGCCAAACTGTCGAGCAGTGACAGCGGACCAGCCCCCTCCAGCGGCCACCGGCGCGGCCCCGGGGCCCCGGCGCGCTTCCAAGATGATTTCAGAGCGCTCCGAGCCGCCCCTGGAGGCCCCCAAGAGGGCCCGAAGACGGTCCAAGAGGGTCTCCGCGACAGGCCCCGAGCGTTCGAAGACGCCCAAGACAGCCGCCCGACGGCCCAAGAGGCCCCCAAAATGCTCCAAATGGGCTCCAGAGAGAACCCCAGGAGAGCCCGAACAAGGAGAAATCGTCCCATTCCCTTGGGAAAACGTGCATTTCGGGAGTTCCCGTGCTTTTCGTCTTCGATGCGTCTAAGACGGCCACACTGGCCCTCAAGATCTTTCCAAGACGCCTGAGGAGGCTGCCAGGAGGGCCCCAAGACGGCTCAAGACTGCGCCAGTACGGTTCCTCAGGCGCCCATGGCGGCCCCCCCCAAGAAGGGGCCGGAACAGGGTAGGAGCGCTCCCGAGGGGCCCCAAGAGGGGGACAGGGCCCCAAGAGGGCCCCGACAAGGCCCCATAACGCATGTACTTGGGTGCCCATCTCGCAAGCCCAAGAAGCATATCAAGTACATGCGGTTTGTGGCCCCTTGGGGGCGCTCTTGCGACCCTCTTGAGGCTTTTGGGCCCCTCCAAGACAGGGCCAGGTGCATTCTGCAACAGAAAGGCCTCTCGTGGCAGAATGGTGGGCCCGCGCCCAGCGGCGTCCTGGGGCCCTCTTGGAGCCCTCGGGGGGCCCTCTTCGTGCCCTCTGGCACGACCCACCCATGGTTCGGCAACCCCCGCCGCCAGTGGCAGCAAGAACGGGTGCACACTAGTCTCTCCTCTAATGCAGTCAGCTACAATGCTGGGATCAGCGCGTGCGAGAAGGGCGACCAGTGGCAGCGGGCTCTGGCGCTGCTGAGAGAGATGTCGGAGGCGAAGGTGGACCCCGACGTTATCTACGTTCAGCCGGGGGTTGACAGAACCCTCACCCTGACACGTCGATTGGTGAATTGTGCGTGTTCGGTTCTCGAGGGGGCGCCTCGGCCGTCGTTTTCTAGGCTTGCTCCCGCCAGGTTTGGGCCCGAGGTCGTTTTCATTTAACCTCCCCTCCATGCAAAGAGGGGAAAAAAGCGGAGGACGCGAGGGGGCGGTGGACGGTTTCCCATGGGCCGTAGGCGACACGAGGAGGGGAGGGCGAGAGGGGGAGGAGCAGGAGGAGGAGGAGGAAGAGGAGGAGGAGGAGGCACGCTTTAGTAAAGGGGGGTTCTGTCCATCCCCTAGTCAGGAACCTCGGCCCAGCAGGTCGCTCCGCCGGCTCTGGCCCACCACCCCACGACGCGGCACGCTGACCAAGGCCCCAGGCGTCCTCTTCCTCCTCCTCCTCCTCCTCCTCCTCCTCCTCCTCCTCCTCCTCCTCCTCCTCCTCCTCCTAACCCCCCTCCTCCTCCTCCTCCCCCTCCCTCCTCCTCCTCCTCCCTCCTCCTCCTCCCTCCTCCTCCTCCTCCTCCAGCTCCTCCCTCCTCCTCCCCCTTCCCCCTCCTCATTCCTCCACCCTTCGGCGCGACACGCTAACCAGGGCCCCAGGCGCCCACGACCCGAGGCTTTCCGGGCCTCCCGCCCCGCCAAGCGGCGCGACACGCTCTCCACTAGCGTTAAGTTGGGGACGTCCCCCTGCAGGAGGAATATTGAAAAATAGTCCGAAAATGCTCTGGGGACGATCTTTCGACTGTTTTGAGTTTTTTCCGACTGTTTTCTATGTCCGTCCAAAATCCGCCTGCAGGAGGACATGCCCGACCTAACACCAGCACACTGGCAGGGCACAGCGTGTCGCTGGGGCCGCCGCCGCGACACGCTAAGCACAAATTCCCGACCGTATGTTGCATACCAGGCAGCCTGCGTGCCCTCAGATCCGACATTGCGAACAAGTTGCGACATCGCGAAAAGTCGCCACTGGAACCCTAGACCCCATCTTTCTGGGGCACGTTTCGAGCTGGATCGATCTGCGAGTGTCCCGGGGCCCGATCCCGGGCGACCACGCCCAGATCTCAGGGTATCAGAAGTTCGGCGGCGAGCGAGGGGCGGAAGTGAGAAGGAGGAGGCCTTCCCAGAAGGTGGCAGGACTTCTCAGAAGCCCTCGCGCCTGTGAGAGGTTTCCTACGTCTTCGGGGAAGGCTCAGAAAACTCTTCTCAGGTGGCCGGGGGACATCCGAGCCTTCTGAAAAGGCCCACCCCTTCTCACTTCCCCCTGGGCTCGCCGCCGACACACGAACGAACGAACAGCGCACACCCGTACCCATATATGGGGGTGGTCGGAGAGAGGAGGATTGGCTAAGGGTGTGGGAGCGGGTTGGTCGGACCCCGCGGGAGGCTTCCCCATCGGGCGGGGACTCCCGTCCGACGCATGCACCCGTAGCCCCCCCCCATTTCCCCTATTGGTGTGAGTGTGTGTGTGTGTTCTTCGCTCGTCGCACATCGGGTCCGAGTGGATGGGTCCGAGGGTCGCGCCGCCTCGCCGATGCGTCGGCGATGCGGCTCGGTGTGGAGCCCGGTTTTCTCCACGCTGACGTCGCCTCCTCCAACTCCTCCACACTTCCAAGCAAACAGCGCACCCTGAAGCAATAAGCAGAAACGAGTGCACGCTCAATCCTCTGACATTCGTGGACGGTAGTCCACGGGCCAGCCCTAGTCAGCTACAACGCTGGGATCAGCGCCTGTGAGAAGGGCGAGCAGTGGCAGCGGGCGCTGGCGCTGCTGAGTGAGATGCGGGAGGCAAAGCTGGAGCCCGACGTTATCTGCATTACAATTCTGGTCGGAACGCGTCCCAAACAGGGGGACCAGTGGCGTTGGTACCAAGCCCCAGACCCGCTCCAGAACTCGCTTCAGCGGCCGCCAGCTGCCCTGACGGCCACTCCAGCAGCTACTGGCTGGCCTGGGGCCCAGGACGGCTCCAGAGGCCCGCCGACCATTCGCGAAGGACCCCAGGAGGCCAGCACAGCCAAAACGCATATGGTTTTTCTCAACCATCCTGTGGTGTTGGGTCCTCGTTTGGAGGAGACAGCGCCCCGCGTCTCCCACCTCCTCTCATCCTCCTCCTCCCTCCTCCTCCTCCTCCTCCTCCTCCTCCTCCTCCTCCTCCTCCTCCTCCTCCTCCTCCTCCTCCTCCTCTTCCTCCTCCTCCTCCTCCTCCTCCTCCTCCTCCTCCTCCTCCTCCTCCCTCCTCCCTCTCCTCATTCTCCTCCTCCTCCTCCTCCTCCCCAGCCGTTCTGGCACAAGGTTCTGTGCTTGTTGAGCGGCACTGCGTCAACGGGCCTTTGGTTCGGTGTAGGTTTCTTTCAGTGATTGCGGGCGTATGACACCCAAGTTTCCCACTCAGTTTCATGGCGGTGGCAAGGGACAGGAGCGAAGACAAGGTTTTGGTCGTGAAGGTCGAACCCGTGTATCACCTCCTTGGCACCTTCCAGGCGCATATTCATATACCTCACGGTGGCACGATGCCACTAAATCAGGCAGCGACGGCTACTCGAAGATCAAGTGCATCACCTGTGGCTGCGTGACGAACCAGAAGTCGTCTCGGTATTGCAAGCACTGTGGCGCCCGGCTGGCTGCTGTTCGGCCGCTGACGGGAATCCTCCAGCCATTGGTGCTTGGGCCCAAGTCCCGCCTGGGGTCTTCAGCCCGCCGCCGCCCTGGATCATCCACTCGCAGCAACCCCACGGGCAGCACGCCACCCCACTTGGACAAGGTGCTGCAGTCCAACCGGGTGGTGGCGGCACCCACGGTGGCCCAGGGGTCCCCAAGGCAGCTCCCCGCCCAGCCGGTGCCCAGGGTCAGCTCACGGCCACTGACGCTAAGCAGTTGGCTGAACTGGCTCGGAAGGGGAGATCTGGTCACTGCTGCCAAGTACGAGTCCGAAGTCAAGAGACTTCATGCTCAAGAAGCACCCACGCGACCCACTCCACTGCATCGGCGAGTCCAGCAGCAGTTTGCAGTCGTCTCGCGGCTGGAGCAGGCTCTGAACAAGGATGTCGACAAGCTGTTGGCGCTGCGGAAGGATGGCATACAGCTTGAGAGCACAGCGCGTGACATGCGAGCCGAAACCGAACAGGCTGACACAGCGTACAAGTCCCTTGTCTCGGAGTTGAAGCAGCAGGCTGCCGTCGGCCAAGGTCCAGGCGCTGGTCCAGCCAAACTCAAGCTCGAGGACATGTGCAACGAGTCCTTCGATCTCGCCACGGTGCTCACCATCGATGAGGTCTCTTTCTTTGAGGGCGACGAGGAGCTAGGCCAGGATGACCGCGACGAGATCGCCAAGCGGAAGGATGACCTCAGCGCGGGTGTGTCCAAGCTGGCGAAGGAGTTGTTGGGGCCATTGGTCGCTGCTGCCAAGCAAGCCCGCGATGCGCATCGAGAGCACCTCACTCGCTTTGCGGCCAAGAAGAGGCGAAGCACCGACGGCATGGTCGCTGGTAGAGGAGGAGCTCGCGTTCCTGCACCTGGAGGCGCCCGCGCTGGTGGCCCAGCTCTTGCCGAGCCCACATCAGCGGGCAGCGGCGACAAGCCAGAGGCACTAGCGCAGGCGACAGCGGGAGGTGGAGCCTTCTACTCGGCAACCGATGTGCGGACCAAGGCAGAAGAAGCCCTTCCCCCCCCCCTCTGCCCCTGGCGGGGTGGGGGGAGGAGTGGCGCCATGGCCCGGCAAGCGCATCCGCCCACGCATGTGCCCGTCAGCAGCAGCGCCCCTCACTTGAGCGCCCCAGCAGGAGGCCAGTTTGGCCCGATGCTACCTTGGGGGCGCACGGTTATTCCTCTCGGTCTTGGCCTCCAGCAGGCCAACTGCGCCCAGGGGGCGCATGAGTGGCAGTCCCCACCTTTTGCTGATGACGTGCTCGTAATCTATGGACTCAGGGCGCCGCGCCTGCTAGGTGCGAACACCACCCACGACAGAGCTGGAAGCTCTCTCGTGGAGGAGCAGGCTGGACCCTGCCCAGGCCATTTTCTGGCGCAGGCTACTGAGCACACCCAGGCCAAAGCAGCGTCTGCCCTGGGGAACCCGTCCGGTTCCGAGTCTGCTAAGGCCGAGAGTGGCCACGGCCATGGGGCCCGTCCGCCCCCCTTGGATTTCTTCGGTCCCCGAGGACCTAGCGCTTTTGAGCTAGGCGCGACAGGCAGCGGTGATGCGTCAGCCCAAGCCTCGCTGTTTTTCTCCATTTCCACTCCACAGAACCTTACCCAGGATATTCCCAAGTGGAACTCATAGTTCTGACTGCCAACGTTACTTCATGGCACTCGGACTCGGGTGGAGGTCGTAAGGATTGGCTGCCAAAGTGCGAAGCGCACATCCTTCTCGTCCAGGAGCACAGCCTGTTGAAGCCTGACCTGGAAGAAGCTATAGGCTGGGTCCATCGGCATGGGTGGAAAGCTATTCTTGGGCCCGCAGCTCCTGGAATCGGTCATGGCACGTCTTCTGGCGTCGGGATCTTGGTCCGAAGTTCTCTCGGCTGTCGTGCCCCCCAGGAGGGCGCATCATTGACGCGCGCCGTTCTATTGGCGCTATCGCGCATGCTCCAGGTGGGGGGCCCTGTGTTTGCGCGCAGAACCTACCTACGCACGCGTGAAGGGTTGTCAGAGGCCAACGCGGAGCCCCGTGCCCTCATCGGCACGGTTGTGGCGCAGGTTGCTCGACCCACTACTATTGGTGCTGACTTTTAATGTGGGCCCTGACGTGCTTGCTGCATCAGGTGTTGTTAATCGTTTGCGTGCTCAGGTCGTCGTTCCCAGCAGCGTGATCGGCGCGCGCGGTACCAGCATGCTCGATTACCTCGTCGTCTCCTCGGGGCTCGCTAAAGGCATGTCCCTGGCCGAGGTGATTCATGCATCGAAAGTCGCCGCCCACCTACCAGTGCAGCTCCGGTTTCGCGCATGCATTGGGCGTCTCCGTGGTCTTGTTCTTTGTCAGCCGCCACCACTGCCGACGGAGATGCCGATCGGCCCCGCGCCGCCGCCGCCTGCGTGGGCAGCGGTGCAAGCTGATGCTGACCGCGTCCTCGAAGCTCGTCGAAGAGGCGACGCTCGTGCTGTGCAGTGCACGCTCGACGCCCCCCATAAGCATTGGGCCGACTTGGCCGAGAAGGAGCTATCGGGGACTCGTCAAACCACCCTCCCGCGCTGGGGAAGCAGTGGGAAACTGCCTCAGCAGAGGTGGGTTAATATCCTGGGCCAAGATAGGCAGGCCCCCCGCACACAACCCCAGCTCTTCTCCCTTAAGTGTTGTGTCGGCAAATTTAGGCCTCTCCTTCAGCTCGACGCGATTGGCGCAGGACCGCACAGGCGCAGGAGGTGCGGAGGCTGCTTTTTTCCCCGCCAGCTGTTCTGAAGTAAGGGCTGGATTCCCACGCTGATTGTCTTTTGGGGGCGCAGCAGTTTTTAGGCCGGCATGCTTTGCTCGGTCTTTGGGCTGGGGAAGCCATACTTACCGACTTGGACGAGCATCTGGCGACCTTCGCCGTCAAGGCCGAGTCGCAGGCACTTGCCGAGTGGAGGGAATGGCTGCTCCAAAGGGGGCGCGGAGGGCGCGCCAGCATGCGCGAGGCAGCCAACCATCGACCCCCCCACCACCACTATTCCAAGTCAGGATGGAGCCGTGACATCTGGCCCCCTGGCCTTGCCTGCGGCCGAGGCTCCTAAATTCAGTAAGTGGTGGGGAGCCTCGAACACTCCGCCCCAGTTGATCCCCGGGTCTCAGTTTGTGGATTTCCTCCCCAGGCTCGCCGCCGATGAGCTGCGCTCTGCTTCCAGGCGTTACTCGCCTAGGTCTGCCACGGCTGTTGATGGCTTTCACATGAAGCATTATGCCTCTCTGTCGGACGGGGCCCTTCATGTCCTGGGGGCCGTGTTTTCGGACATGGACGCTTTTGGGTTTTACTTTGGGCAGGTTTCCCTGGTGGTCCTTTCCCTGCTTAGAGGACCTTCCGGCGGCTTTTGGCCGATCGGCCTATTCTGCAGTCCCCATCGCCTCTGGGGGCGATGCCGACGGAGGTTTGCCGTCCAATGGGGAAGTGATATCCAGCGGAGTTATTTCGCGGGCTTCCCGTTTTCGTCTGCCACCGACGTGGTTCGGAGGCAATCTTCACGCGCTGAATGAGCTGTGTCCAAGAAAGAAGCCAGCTGCACGCTGTTATGGGACCTTTGCAAGTGTTTTGAGCTTGTCAATCTCTCGACCTTCCTTCAGCGCTGCCACTAGTTTTATTTCCCCGGCCACAGAGTGCAGGTGCCAAGGGCTCCTGAAAAGCTGTCGGGGAAGGCAGGGGCCCCAAAAGCCCAGGCGTTGCTGTGCATGTGGGGCCCTGGTACGGTCCAGGCGGCGACCTGCCTGCGGACCTTCCCCGTCGCCTGACTGAATACGAGAAGGAGCTGCGCACTGCCAAGGTTGCGCGGCGCTTGTTGCGTGCTGCAGGTGGGCAGCCTGGCCCCCCTGATACAGAGGAGCCAAAGAGTGGGCCCCCTTGTGAGAAAGGGCCAGGGCCAGGGCCAGCAGCCTAATCGAGCCGTCGGCCCGTCGTACGTGTCGTCATCTTCCACTAACACTGCTGCTGAGCCCAGGCCCCATCCTCTGGACCATTTTGGCGCAGAAGAGGAAGCTGCCCAAATACTGTTTGGCACGCCCAAGACGGGCGAGCCGCCATGGCCCCCGCACTCACATGCCAGGCCGAGGTCGGCTGGGATTGTCCGCGACAGGGGGGCACTCACCCTCCAAGA